ACATCTGGCTGCTAACCAGAATGTCGGTGGTTCGAACATGCCAACTGCTCCATGCAAGATGAGGTAGTGTGCTTCCTCGAAGATGTACAGCCTTGGAAACTCAATGGGGGTTGCTATGAGTCAGAATCAACTCCATGGCAGTGAGTTTGGGTGTGTGTTTTCTTGGTCTAAGTATAAAGAGTTCTGTTGTCATAGTGGATAAGACATTTGGCTGCTAACCAGAAGATGAGCGGTTCAAACCCACTAGCTGCTCTGAAGAAGGAAGATGAAGCAATCCACTTCTATAAAGATTTACAGCTTTGGAAACCCAATGGTGGTCACTATGAGTTGGAATCGACTTGATGGTAGTGGGTTTGGGTTTTTTTGTTCATATTAGTATACCTCCCACCAAAAAAGTACCATCATTCTGTAAAAAAAAAAAAAAAAAAAAAACTATTTTCCTCCTTACTATGAAAAAAAGTTAATAAACTATCCTTTACTAATGTGGTTTCTATTGGGGTCTGGCCAACAATTGCAGCCAGTTTTGAAAGAGAAAGTTAAGCTACCATGTAATAGCAATACCTGCTAATTTTATGAATTGATAACTTCTTCTCAGAAGGAAAAACAAACTACTCCAGAGAGTGTCTTGCCCATGACCATGAAGCAACCTGATACAGGGAGATGATTCCAAAAAAAAAAGTCAACTAGAGAAAAACCCATCCCCTTATTTGCAGTTCCCAAAGCTAAAATGTCTATCTTAGATCTCATGAGTTTCCAAATTGCAGAGAAATCTTGCTCTATTTAGTTTTTAGTAAGAGTATAATGGCATTATCCCAGATGTTCTCTTGGACACAGGGTAATGAAGGTATAAGATAAAAACATTTTTTTTTTTTTGAGAACTCCATCTTTACAAGACTTATACAGACATACAAAACCAAGGTGCACAAACCAGTGCTTTCAGGAGGCAGGCAAGTAATGTGACTGAGTGAACCCTAACCCTATAGGAAGACCACAGGGAGTTGAAAAGACTATGGGATGACTAGAATACAGCACCCATCTAAAAGAAAGAACCACTACTCGGGGCAAGAATTTCTACTTTCAGGAATGTGAGCCCACTGTTGCCAGTTTCTAGCTTGAAATCTGAATCTTTATGTGAAAATTTCTAATACTTAACCCAGTGAGTGGTCCTTCAAAAAAAAAAAAAATATATATATATGTATTTCAGACCCATATATGTAGCCCATGGATGCACAATTTTTCAACCTCTGGCAAAGATACATATATGAAGATGTTCACTACAATAAAAAAAAAAAAATTGGTTGAGTAAGTTTGATGCTGTTAAAAGAATGTTATCTATTTACATGCATTGATAGGGAACCAACTCCAAGATAGATGGCTAAATGAGAAAAAGTCCTAAATTGGGATCTACCATATGCTCCCATTTGATATAAAGGTTGGGGGTGGGGACAAAAGGAACAATGACAGGTAGAAATTAAAAGGTAGAGCTTGACTATGCACAGAATAGCTCTGGAAATTTGCAGAAGAATTTGGTAGTCGTTGTTGCCTTTGGGTGTTGTTGTTGTTGTTGTTATGTGCTGTCAAGTCGGACCTGACTCATAGTGACCCCTCATTGGGTTTCTGAGGCAGTATCACTACGGAAGTAGATCGCTCCATTTTCCTTCCGAGGAGTGGCTGGTGGGTTTGAACCTCCAGCCTTCTGGTTAGCAGTCAAGTGCCTTAGGTACTATGCTACCAGAGCTCCTTGCCTTTGGGTAGGAGGCTGGAAATCTGGGATCAGAGGAGAATCTTACTTTTCACTGAACATCCTATTTAAAATGCCATAATTTTCCAAGTAACTACCTTTAACTTTTAAAGAGTTAATAAACCTTTGAGAAACAATAGCAACAACAATTTAAAAAAAAAAAAAAGGTTCTCTGGATACGGCTTACAAAAAAAAATACAAATTCACTGCTGTCAAGCAGATTCAACTCATGGCAACCCCTGCTTCGGTTTCTACCAGCTGCTCTGCAGCAGAAATAGATTGCCCAATCTTCCTTAGGAGGAGTGGCTGGTGGGTTTAAACCACCACCCTTCTAGTTAGCAGTCAAATGCCTTAGGCACTATGGCTTAGAAAGGGGAAAATTGCTCTCCATGGTTAAGAGTGGGAAGAAAGTGAGTTCTCTAATTTCTTTCTCTGATCTTTTCTTCCCCTTTCCACCCATTCTCATAGTCCCTTATTTCTGGTTTGTTCATCAACATTTATTTCCCTTCACCTCACAATCCACCCACCCCCACCCACATCTCTTCTCCTCAAAAAGGAGAGCTAATGAAAAAACAGAGTGACTTGGGGGCGGGGGCGGAATATTAGAATGGTCTCCAAATCCAAGACTGGAAAAGTAGGCCCTGGCCCTGGTTTTTCTAATAAAATCAGAAGCTAGCTATAAAATATCAAGACCTCAGAATTTCCCCCAACCCCCATATAATCCTCCCCAGGGACAAGCAGATGGATTACAGCTGACTAAACATACTACTTCCCTGTTTTTCCTCAAGCCTCACACTCATTCCCCAAGTCCTATTGGTTCTACCTCAGAAACATCTGCCAGGTCTACTCATCCCTCTAGCTCTATCTACAACCTACAGCTACATTTCCTGTTACTTTCAAGGTCTTACATAGCAACACCTGGTAGGAGGTTCAGGAGCTCCTGAACTTTCATTCACTTTTACAATGCCATGCTTTTGTAAAGGTGTTTTCTCTGCCTAGAATCCATCAGATTCCTGAGTCTGAGTTCAAATCCTGACTGAACCACTCACTACTGTGTGACTTTGGGTGACTTAGTTAACCTCTTAATACTTCCGTTTTCCTCATCTACAAAATGGAAATAATAGTACCTCCCTCCATAGAGTTGCTGTGAAGAGTACTCAGTGCCTGAAACATAATAAATATTCAGTACATGTTGTTGCTGTTGTTATGTGCCGTGGAGTCGGCCCTGACTCATAGCAACCCCTCCTTGGGTTTCCAAGGCAGTATCACTACGGAAGTAGGATTGCCCAACAATTTACCAACTGGAAAATGCCTACTTATCCTAAGGCCTTCGCCAGAACTAGCTCATTTTCTCAGTGAGACTGTTACTCCTTCCTCCGCTCCCTCATTGCTTGATCCAGATCTCCAATGTAGTCCTTCTTATTGTATTATTATTATCACCTATTTATATGTCTATCTGCTCTAAAAATCTTGCAGTTCACAAAGGGCAGGAACTATCTTATTCATCTTAGTAGCTTTAGGAGCTTAGTAGCACTCACAACACAGTAGTTCCTTAATAAACAATTTCCCAGAAAACTAATATAGTCCCACCGGAATACCTGCAATTCTCAAACACGCTAGGTTGCTTTATAACTCACATGCCTTTCCCAGCTCCTTTCTGTATCCCTTGGTAAATCCATTCTTTCATCTTTTCTACTCATGCTTTCTCATTCAAGGCCTAAGAGTTAGTTCAAATGTCACTTCCTTTGAGAAGTCATCTTTGAATCCTTCCTCCCTTCCCAGTAAGAATTATTTCTTTATCTGTAGCCTCCTGGCATCTTGTAATATCTAACTTTACTAATTAGTTCTTTTATATGTCTTTGTCCTCGCTACACATATCTTTAAGGAGCTCTGGTGGCATAGTTGATAAGGCATTTGGCTGCTAACCAGAAGGTTAGTAGTTCAAACCCACTAGCTGCCCCATAGAAGGAAGATGGGCAATTTATTTCCGTAAAGATTTACAGCCTCGGAAACCCAGTGAGGGTCACTATGAGTTTGGCTTTTAGTTTTTTTCAGACATATCTTTGAGAATCCAATTTATAGTACTGTGCATGGCATATAGTAAACCAGTGGCCCTTGATTCTAGCTGTGTATCAGATCATCTGCAGTTTCTTAAAAATACTGATTTGTAGGGCCTTAAACCCACCAGCTGCTCCATGGGAAAAAGATGAGGCAGCCTGCTTCTGTAAAGATTTATAACCTTGGAAACCCAGTGGGGACTTGCTATGAGTTAGAATCAACTTAATGACAGCAAGTTTTTGTTTTGTTTTGTTTTGTTTTATCCTTAAAGAATCTTATTCAATGGATTTGAGCTTTGGCTCCAAACTACTCTCTCTGATAGCTGGTGGGCAGACAGAGTTGAGAACCTCTATGGCAGGTATACAAACTTATGCTGAAGGCACATACTCACTCAATGATGAGAAGACACAAAGCCTGTTCCACTAGGCCTGAACCAATTCTGAAGGTTATACTTAAGAAACATAGGGACAGTATGCTATCTTCCTTACTGAAGCTCTGGTTCCTGACTATCAAACTGATACACTTTTAAAAGGTCTGTGGAAGACAGCAAAGTAGAAGAAAATACTAGGCCCAGCTAAGGTAATGGCACAGGTGAACAGAGACCAGGAAAACAGCTTTATTTGGACTGAGAGCTGGAGAGTGATTGTAGGACCTGAGAAATACTGAGCTAAAGAGTAGAGATAAGGTTCCAAAATGGCAGTCACAGCTCACCAACAAAATGGACTCCACTTCCCAGCAGCAGTGCAGTCAGTGCAATCAATAAAAGGCCTGCTGGGAAAGGTATTTGCCACTAAACCACCATTACAAAAAAGGTACAGGTTTGTTTGGGTTTTATATATATATATGTATATATATATATATAAAAAATAAAATTTCCAAGACACTCCAACTGCCACTATTACAAAAGATCACCTTTGAAAAATCACATTGTATAGATCTTAAACTTATCTTCAGCATTTGGCTTAAAGGGCTTACCATATTCCAAAACCAACTCCTCCTGCTACACTCATCAGAGAGAAAGAAGGCCTTTGCTAGCCCATGGCAATCCTTTTCCCCTTTCCCTAGCCAGACAGAGGTAAGCAGCAGGGTGAGGTTCAGGTGGGAGGCATAAGGGCTAATTTCCCTCAGTACAACATGGCATCTGAAGCTTGATGGGAGAGTGGAACTGGTGAGACATGAAGAAGTGTCCAGACCCCTGTATTCAGTCAGAGTCACTGCTGGAAGAGGAGGAGGAGGAATGCTGTAAGGGGAAAGGGGAGAGGAAACAGCATCAGATACAAGTGACCCTTGATCACCCCAGTGGCCATTCTTTGGTACCCCATCCCTCCACTCAAGTACCCCTGCCTTCCCCAAGAAAGTGAGGAGTTTTGAACCAGACTGTCTGTTAAACAAGCAAAAGCAATAATTCTTTCAGCAGTAAGCATAAAGGAATGGGATAAACCATCCTAAATCACCGCACAGAATTTAAAGTATTGCATTTGGAGCAAGTATACAACTTTCTTTACCTGAGTCAATGACTAGGTAAGGAATAAATTATAGCCACTAGGATAATATAGTGCTAAGAAACAGCTGCTACCTTATAAATGTATATTGATTAACTGTATGAAAAGTCCCTAGTGGCTATGATTCTAAGAAAAATGAGTAGAAACAGCAGCTGTGTGTGCATGTACCTCTACTTTCCCCAAGTCCCACTGGGAGAAAGTGGGGAATATGGGAGAGAAGGCTGGGGGAGTGGTAGTCAAGGTTACTTATATGCATAATCCCATCAATAGCTACCACTAAAAACTTTTTTCTCTAGGGCAATTTTTTTCCCATTCAGTTTCACCTTTCATTCTCCTTAGACTTTCACCAAAGACTCAGAATCAGGATGTAAGGGTGGCATTGTGGATAAGGCATTTGGCTGCTAACCAGAAGGTCAGCGGTTTAAATCCACCAGCTGCTTGGCAGGAGGAAGATGAGACAATCTATTTCTGTAAAGATTTACAGCCTTAGAAACCCAGTGGGGGTTGCTATGGGTCAGAATTGACTCAATGGCAATGGGTTTGGTTTTAGGCCTTAAAAGGGAACCCTGGTGGTACAATGGTAAAGTGCTCAGCTGCTAACCAAACACACCAGCCATTCTGTGGGAAAAAGATATAGAAGTGTGCTTCCATAAAGATTACAGCCTTAGAAAAGCTATGGGCAGTTCTACTCTGTGCTATAGAGTCTCTATGAGTCAGAATCAACTCAAGGACAAGGAGTTGGGTTTTCATGAGCCTTAAGAGGAGCCCAAAGAATCTTAAAAGCTTGCAAGCAGGCATCTAGATGCAACAATGGGTCTCTCCTTATCCAGAGCAAAAAAGAATGAAGAAAACCAAAGATTCATGGGAAGAATTAGTCCTAGAGACTGGTACACCATGCCAGCCTATACGACTATGAGACCAGAAGAACTAGTGGTACCCAGCTACCACTGTCAACCACTCAGAAGGGGGAGCTATGTAGGAGACCCTGGATAGAGAGGGAGAACAATGTGGAACAAAACTCAAAAGCATTTGGGAAGAAAAAAGGGGGACCAGGTTTTGCTGGTCTGATAAGAGCTTGGTGGAACCACTGAGACTATGGTCCCTAGCTGCCCTTCAGGTCTGGAATTGTACCCACACTTGTGGCTTCCAGCCAAACAAAAGATAGGCATATGAGTTGCGGTAGATACACTCCTTGGAGAGAACAATCATGGGAGAAAAAAGGGCTGTTTATGCACAGGGAGACAGTTCAAGGGGCAGGAGTGCATGGAGGGATGGACAAAGAGAAGAGGTGACTGTCGGAAGGAAGTGGGAGAGAGGCTGTTGCATTGTGGTGAATTGTGGTCAATGTCATGAGACAAAGTGTATGTGAACTGCTGTATGGAAAATGAATTTACTCTGTAAATTTTTACCCAGATCACAATTAAAAAAAAAAAAAAAAAAAAGAGGAGCCCAAAGAACTCTGGTAGTGTAGTGGTTAAAGCATTCAAATGCTAACCAAAAGATTGGTGATGTGAACCCACCAGCAGCTCCAAGGGAGAAAGATGTGGTAGTCTGCTTCCATGAAGATTTACAGCCTTGGATATTCTATGGGGCAGTTCTATTTTGTCCTATAGGGTCACTATAAATTAGAATCAACTCAATGGCAATACATTTAAGAAGAGCCCTGGATGCACAATGGTTAAGGACTTGGCTGCTAACCAAAAGGTTGGCAGTTCAAACTCACCAGAGGGTCCTCAGGACAAAAGTCCTGACGATCTGTTCTCCTAAAGATTTACAACCTAGGGAGACCCTATAGAGAAGTTCTACTCTGCCATATAGGGTTGCTATGAGTTGGAATCAAGTTGAAGGCATACAGTAACAAGGGCCTTAAGAAGTTGCCCTGGTAGAGTGACAGTTAAGGGCTAGGCTATTAACAGAATGGTTGGCAGTTTGAACCCATCCAGAAGCTCCATAGGAGAAAGACCTGTCAATCTGTTCCTGTAAAGATTATAGCCTAGAAAACCCTATGGGACAGTTCTACTGTCACATGGGGTAGCTGTGAGTCAAAATCAACTCAGTAGCACCTAACAACATGGGCCTTAAGATGTAAATCAAAACCTTCTCAAGATCCAGGTAAATTTACCTTTTCCAGGTAAATGTAATCTTTCTGGAGTTGTACTGTGCTCTCTTACCCTTGCTAATTAACACTCTTCTAGAACAGAGGAGCTCTGGTGGCCTAATGTCTAAGGCATCTGACTGCTGACCACAAGGCTGGGAGTTCAAACCCACCAGCCACTCCTCAGAAGGAAGAATGGGCAATCTACTTCCATAAAGAGACAAGGATGGATTGTTTTGAGTCTTAACCAACTCTGGGGCAGTGAGTTTAGTTTTGAGAACAGAGATACTTAGCCTTAGGGCTGAGTATGAAACCCTTAGTCCCAAGCATTCTTTGAGGCTGAGTCACTGGCCTGTCTCTTTGTTCTAGATTCCTTGATAAATGGTAGGGCAAAAAGGCCCAGGTAATTAACACAACATCTTGAGAACACTGAAAGAGGAAGGACCTCCAGAATTGCTGTTGTTGTTGTTATATGCCAGTGGACTGGACTCATAGCCACTCCTCCTTGGGTTTCTAAGGCAGTAGATTGCCCAACCTTCTTTCCAAGGAGTAGCTGGTGGGTTTGAACCACCAGCCTTCTGGTTAGCAGTCAAGTGCCTTAGGCACTAAGCTACCAGAGTTCCTTCCAGGAATTGTTGTTGTTGTTATGTGCCCTCAAGTCAGACCTGACTCATAGCGACCGACCCCTCCTTGGGTTTCCAAGGCAGTATTACTACAGAAGTAGATTGCCCAACCTTCCTTCCGCAGAGTGGCTGGTGGGTTTGAAGCCTCAGCCTTCCAGGAATTAGGCCTAGATTATTAGTCTGCTAATTATTATGTAAGACTTTGCTTTGTGTCAAGACTGACATTTTGACAGACTCTGGATGTGTCCAACTTATTAAAACATGCTGGGTGGGGGGAGACAAAAGTTCTGGGAGAGAGAACAACAGCCAAGAGGGCTTTTGATTTAACTATCCATTCTTAGGTTCAGCCTGGCTCATCCCAGATAAATCAAAAACCAAACCCACTGCCACTGAGTTAACTCATCGCAAACTCATAGCAACCCCCATTGGGTTTCTGATGCCATAAATCTTTATGGAGGTAGATTGCCCAGCGTTGCTTCCACAGAGTGGCTGGTGCCTTAGTCACTGTGCTACCAGAGCTCCTTCCTCCCAGATAGAGGGCCCAGTAAGCATAATATTTCTTCTCAAGATGATCAGCAGGACTTTTTCACAAAAAGCAAGATAAAGCACTGCAATCATCATCCCCCATGGTGTCTGACTGGACTATATGAATCCTCCTCGAGAACCCCAGCCTCCTACTGAGGCAGCAGACCCTCCCCCCTACCCAGGCTCCAGAGGAGCACTGACCTTGCCATGCTTGTGTTGTTTGTGGGTCTTTTTATGAGCTTTCTTCATTTTCTTCCGCATCTTCTTGTCCATCACCATTCCTGGTCCTACCAAGCCAGGAACCAAAGGATTCACAGAAGCCATGCCAGGGGCAGGTGGTGGGTATGGAGGAGGGTAGGAGCCAGGAGGTGGGTAGGGTCCTGGAGGTTGGCATCCTGGATACCCTGGTTGTGGCACAGGTTGAGGGGGTACACCTGGGGGGAAAGCGGGATTCCCCTGGGGAACTCCTGGGTGATTGGGAAAGGGGCCTGGAGGAAAAGTAGGATTGACAGGTGGTGGATGAACAGGGTTGGAACCTCCAGGGTACCCGACGTTGGGGGGGTATGGATTTGGCCCCGGCTGCCCTGGTGGAAGAAACACAGAATAAATTAAGATTAGAACTACTCAGAATCTCTGACAACAACCAACAAGAAGCAGACTCAGTTTCTCACCTAGTACTTAAAACCCTATGGGCAATACTACTTTGTCCCATGGGGTCGCTATGAGTCAGAATTGACTCCATGGTACAAAACAACATTTAAAAGGAAATTGAAAAGTGAGGAAGAATAGAAGCAGAGAGAAACCTGAATGGGGGAGAAAAATGGGATGAACCTGGAAGTTGTGGAGACAAAGGAAAGCAGCGAACTTAATCCAAGCACTTTGCTTTTGGAGGGGAGAGGGGGGGGGGGGGGGGGGGGGGCGGTTACAGAAACTTCCTGTAGTGAGGCATATATGGAAAGGGGGTGGAGAAGTGAAAAGAGATCTCCCAACACCTACCGGTATTGGCATTCCACATATTCAGGTATTTCCCAAAACCTGAGGAGAAAAATAAAGCAAAAAGCTGACAGTCCCCAAGGTAGGAAAAAGATTTTAAAGTCCAAGCCCAACCTCAATGCCTCCCGCCCCACAATGGGATTTCCTACTGGCCTTTTAACTACCAGGACCCCTAAAAAACGTTTCTTTCCACTCATTCCTTCGCCCTGAACACCTGTGTTAATCTCAGTTTACGACTTCCTTTCCATTGCCCCTCCTCCTTCCACTACCTCTGGCCACAGCTGGAGGTCTCTAACCCATCACGAGAGGGTCAGATCAGACAGAGTTCGCGAAGCTCGCAGTTCCCAACACTCAGTCTCCCCTTCTTGAGAATCGAGAGGGCTTTAACCACCTCATCGCACTGACTAAAGAAGGAGCGCAACACCCCCGCTCCCGGGGGAAGGGCATGGGGGCAGGACTCCATCCCAGGTTAAGGGGACTCGGCTCAAGAAAATGCGAGGAACGGAGCTCAAGCAAGATCCTCAATCGTTTAAATATGTAAACACATCCCTTTCCCCGTTAAAGAAAAAAAAAAGAAAATGGCGATCCTAGCTCCCAGCAGCAAAGAGACCCCTGACCCAGGAAGGGAGAAATAAGGTAGTACGAGGATCCAGATGTCCCCGTCACCTCTACACCGGCGCCTGGGCTTGATTCGTCCTTCTTTCCAACCTCAGCTTCCTGGTCACCCCACATCATGCTTCGGTATCCGCCTCTGCTACCACCTAATTGGTAATTAAGTGTTATTCGGCATTATGATTGGAGAATAGAGTCGTCAATCATCTGTTCCTACAAGGCCAGGAGGAAACGGTGGTTTTAGGGGCGGAGCGAGTCCTTCAGGGCGAGACCGTTCTATAAAGCCGGAAATCCAGTGGGGGCGGGGCTAGAAGAAACAAGGCTAGGTAAGGGCGGGACTAGGTTTTGGGGAAAGTCCATGAAAGGCAGAGGGGAAACTCAGCCCCTGTCCTCCGAGCTCAGAGTCTAGTGGTTGCAGTACAGTGCAATGCGGGGATTACTGTGTAATCCTTGCGGTGGTGTTATACAGGTTTGTACAAAGCGATAGAGAAAAGCTGGGTGCTGAGTCCCAGCCCCAAACCCTTAATATTGCCAGCTTCCTCCCGTCATTCATAGGAAGTTAAGAAACATTCTTGGGGGAAAAACAGAGATTTCCTCATCTCTCCCAGGATTCCCCATATCAGTCTCTCAAGTCCACCATCTCTAGAGTTGCATATAGGATGTGAAAGAAACAGAGATGTCAAGGTTGACCCTGAGCAACTGGCAAATAATGATGCCATTTACTGAAATAAGATGGGAGAAGCCACAAAAACGGAAAAGTATAGATAGGAAACTTAGAGGACAGTGACTTAATGGAGGAAGAACAACTAGGAACAGGAGGGTGAGCATGGTTGTAAACTTGAATGTAATCAATGTCATTGAATTTTACACACAGTAACTGTTGAATTGGTGTATCATCTGTTGTGTTGTGAGGCGGAGGTTAAAGATGTCCCAAGTGTCCAGCTTTTCCACACTTCTGTGACACTCCATCATCTCTGACATCAACTCCTCCTGCTCCTCCTTCTCTCAGCAATCTCCCTCCTATCTTTGTTGTTGTTATTTGTCATCGAGTCTGACCTGACTCATAGCAACCCTTCCTTGGGTTTCCAAGGCGGTATCACTACGGAAGTAGATTGCCCAATCTTCCTTCCGAGGAATGGCTGGTTCCGTATGTCCTATAATGTCTCACAGAACTCACAAACTCCCAAAGAAACAGCTCACATGGTGCTAATGGAGGCTGGCAGACTGACAGACTAGCAAGTCCCAAGTCTGTGGGTAGGTCTGGAGGATTCTCCCAACTCACATGGTTGCAGGGGTTGGTGAACCCAAATCATCTGGTCAGATGACCAGCTGCTGTCTTAACTCAAGTCCAGGGATTAGATGAACTAAATGCAGGACCAAGCAAGAGAAAGAACTTTCCCACGGCATTCAAATATATACCTTCACGGAAGCTGAGGGTGGTGACTTGAGTCTCCAGCAAAAAGGGACTTGAGATACATCCCACCCTAAACAGGCATGTTGTTGTTGTTGTTGTTATGTGCCCTTGAGTCGGACCCGGCTCATAGCATCCCCTCCTTGGGTTTTCCAAGGCAGTATCCTACAGAAGTAGATTGCCCCATCTTCCTTCCAAGGAGTGGCTGGTGGGTTTGAATGGCCAGCTTCTGGTTAGCAGTCAAGTGCCTTAGGCACTATGCTACCAGAGCTCCTTTAAACAGGCATAGAAACTAGGATTTATAATCCATCATGAAATGGAGGACAATGGCTGTTGTTGTTAGGTGCCATCGAGTCAGCTTCAACTCAGTGTGAGCCTATGTACAACAGAATGAAACACTGCCCGGTCACGTGCCATCCTCACAATCCTTGCTATACCTAAGTCCATCATCGTAGCCACTTTGTCAATCCATCTCGTTGAGGATCTTCCCCTTTTTCGATGACCCTTCACTTCACTGTGCATGATACCCTTCTCCAAGGAATGGTGCCTTCTGACAACATGACCAAAGTAGGTGAGACGAAGCCTGGCCATTCTCGCCTCCAAGGAGCATTCCAGCTGCACTTCTAGGACAGATTTCTTTGTTCCTCTGGCAGTGCATGGTACTTTCAGTATTCTTCACCAACACAACTCAAAAGCATCAATTCTTCTTTGGTCTTCTTTATTCATTATCTAGCTTTTACATGTATAGGCGGCTATTGAAAATACCATGGCTTGGGTTAGGCACACCTTAGTCTTCAAAGAAACATCTTTGTCCTTCAGCACTTTAAATAGTTCTTTTGCAGCAGATCTACCCAGTGTAATATGACGTCTAATTTCTTTCTTTCTTTTTTTAAAATTTTTATTGTGATTTGGGTGAAAGTTTACACAGCAAATTCATTTTCCATACAACAGTTCATACACATTTTGTTTCATGGCATTGACTGCAATTGCCCCCAATGTAACAGCTCTCTTCCCACTTCCTCCCTGTAGTCACTTCTCTGTGTCCCTCTTTCCTAAGCTTTCCTGCCCCCTGAACCATCTATCTCCCTGTGCAAATACTGCCCTCCTATTCTCCCATGATTAATCATTCTAAACAGTGTATCTACCTGATGTAAATGTTCACCCTATAAGCCTGTCTATTATTTGGCTGGAAGCCACGGTTGTGAGTTCAATTCCACACCTGAAGGATAACTATGGGCCATAGTCTTGGAGGTCTCACCAGGCTCTATCAGAACAGTGAACCTGGTCTTTTTTTTTTTATGATTTTGAGTTTAGTACCACATTGTTCTGCCACTCTGTCCAGGATCTTCTGTACTGATCCCCTTCCAAGTAGTTGACAGTGGTAGCCAGGTACCATCTAGTTCTTCTGGTCTCATGGTCATACAGGCTGAGGTTCTCAGGGTTCACTAGTCCCCTGGACTAATTGTTTCCATGCATCTTTTGTTATCTTCATTCGTCATTACTGTGGAAGAGGAGAGACCCATTGTTGCATCTAGATGGCCACTTGCAAACTTTTAAGGCCCCAGGGCTACTTACCAAAGTAGAATCGCAAAAAGGGCATGGAGGTGGCATTTTCTGACATCCTGTAACTTCACAAGAGGAAGACAGAATCACCATCAGCAGCCCAAGACTTATTCCTATGAGGCCATGAGGCCATACATGCTGCCACCCTCCAGCCTTTTACCAATTCTTACATCAACCACCCTTCCCATTTCACTCAGTACTTCTCTGCTGGGTTCAATAATTTGTTGCAATGGCCACACAGAACTCACAGACAATATTCATAATCACAGGGTTTATTAGGGAAGTAACAGGTTATAATTCAGGTTCAGGAGCACACTCAGGATACAATTCTTTGATCAGGACAGTCCCTGCTCTGTTATGCCCTCAGGCACACCTCTCTGGCCCTTGGCCCTCTGCTCTGCTTGGGCAAGTGTTACAAAGCTCTTTTAGCTCCACCAATAGGTATACCTAGGTGCACCCCAATCTGTTGGCAAGCCTCCTGCCCACTCAGCTTTCTTGCTCTGTGGCCAGGTAAGCCTGCTGCTGTGTCTCATGCCTCTTGGTTTCACTGCAACAATCTCTCTGCCAGGGCATCTCTACCAAGGAGGTTCAGTGCAGGGTTCTCGGGTCCAAGGATGAACTCTACCTCACTTCCAGCTATTCTCTCTTGTTGGCAGTGAGATCCCCTCTCTGCCTCTAGGAGGGCTCATTTTAAGTCTGGCAGAGTGACAAAACTAACCAATCCCAAAATCAGAGTTCTACACACCTTATTTGCATGGTCCCACCCAGTAATCCAATGGGAGTTACAAAGACTATGGCTAGAAAAGCCATGCCAAGTAATTCCTTGCACTGCAAGGATGTAGAACAATGTTTTTGTGTAGTGTGTTATGCCGATGGAGCTTGATGTTCCCTGAAACCATTGTCCCGAGTCCAGCTACTCCCTCACTCAATGTGTTTGGCTGTGGCTAAGAAGTTATAACTTTGCCCTGTTAAGTCTATTATATATATGGACATTCTTATGTTGTTGTTGTTGTTACGTGCTGTCGAGTCAGTCTCAACTCATAGTGACCCTTCCTTGGGTTTCCAAGGCAGTATCACTATGGAAGTAGATTGCTCAACCTTCTTATAGCACATTCAAATATATATGTAGAAATATCATGTGTCCAACTTATATATTCCTTTTGCCTACCCATACTGAAAATCCTTTTGTTATTTAAAAGATTTTTGACCTTGGACATGTTTTCTAAATTTCTCTGACTCTGGTTTCCTTCTCTGTAAATAGTGTTCACAGATGAGAAAGACATAAGCAAGACATAATGGAAGTTACGTTTAAAGATTTTCCAAAGAGTGGTGTTTAGGTGGTCAAAAGGCAACTGCAATAGTTGGGGCCTACCTACCATACCAGACGAAGAAAAGGGGGAGATGCTAAAAAGTAAGTCCTACCCAAGCAATCTCAAGGGGAATTGGATAAGTGGTGGGGTCAGGTGGGTCACAGGAGAAAACAGAAACATCATCCTTGTTGGGATCCTCTGGGACCCAGAGAAACTTGGTGCCCTTGTGAATCAGGGAAGAAGTGGGAATGGGAGGTTGGCCTTTGCTTAGTTTCAATTGGTAGCTGTGTGAGAGTGATAGTGTCTTGTAGAGAATTGGAGATCTGGGACAGAAAGAAAGTGAAGTCTCAGGGCTTGAGAGTAGACAGGCTCTCCAGAGGCTAATCATGGAACTCTATAACAACCAAGCTAGAAAGGACCTAGAGATGATCTCAATACTCGGACATACCTGCTGCCATTTACTGATTGTCGACTGTAGCCAGGTGCTGGGGAAGACCTCTGATCTATTCTTTCTAACCCTGGATGAATTCTGCAACCAGGGTAGATTTTTGCTTCTTGTTAGTGATTTTTTTGTTGTTGTTATTAGGTGCCATCAAGTCATCTCTAGCCCATAGTGACCATATGTACAGCAGAACGAAACACTGCCCAGTCCTGTGCCAGCTCCACAATACTCGCCATACCTGAGCCCATTGTTGTAGCTTCTGTGTCAATCCATCTTGTTGAGGGCCTTCCCCCTTTTTGTTGACTCTCCACTTTACCAAGCATGATATTCTTCTCCAGGGAATGGTCACATCTTACAACATGACTAAAGTAGGTGAGATGAAGTCTGGCCATTCTCG